GGGAATCATGTTATCACCCCATCAAACAACCTTTTTCCTTCTTTCAGACAAGAAGTCTTGTTGCAAAAGAAGAGTTTTATCCATTACCCTCTACAGGGGCACCTTTGGAAACTTTCATATCATTACATAAATCATTCATATGAATTAGTCATGTTGCTTCGCTCAAGCATAGTATCATGTATATCATGTCACTCATTAGGCCTAACCCCATAACATGAATCTCAAAAAACCTTGTAACCCAATATTGACACCAAAGTCCAACATAGTTTGGCAATTCAAAGTCCAGTTTCCATCTAGCAAACTCTTTCAAAGTCTAGTTCCCGCCTGTAAAACCCTTTTAAAGTCTAGTTCCCATATGGAAAATCCTTTTAAAGTTCAGTTCCCGTCTGGAAAACCCCTTCAAAGTCCAGTTCCTATCTCGAAAACCATTTTAAAGTCCAGTTCCCGTATCATTTCAAAGTTCAGTTCTCGTCTGACAAATCCTTTTAAAGTTCAGTTCTCGTCTGGCAAACCATTTCAAAATCCAGTTCTTGTCTGGAAAACCATTTTAAATCCCAGTTCCCGTCTGACAAATCGTTTTAAAGTCCAATTCCCGTCTGGCAAAAACATTTTCTCACCAATTCTCGTCTGGTAGACTATCCTAAAAGTCCATTTCCCATATGGAAAATACCTTTTCAGATATATTCCCGTCTGGTAATCTACCCTTCAAATCCAATTCTCGTATGGAAGTTCACCCTTAAAAGTCCAATCTTCATTGCCAATCTCCAAAAGTCCCATCTTCATTGGCAACCACCAAAAAAACAAAGTCCAACTTACTTGACACCTCCAGAAAGTCCAATCTTCATTGGCAACTACCTAAAGTCTACTCTGTTGGCATCATCCAAAAGTCCAATTTTCATTGGCAACTAACAAAAGTCCACCCAGTTGGCACCTTCATAATCCCCAAAAGTCCACCTTGTTGGAACCTTCATAAAACCCAAAGTCCATTTTCTATTGGCAACATCAAAAGCCCAATTTTTATTGGCGACATCCAAAGTCCAATCTTTATTGGCAACTACTAAAAGTCCAACTTCAATTGGCACTTCCCTAATCCAATCCTCAGTTGTACCCAAAAGGATCCCACCCTAAAAAAGGAGATTTATCACCAAAAATACTCAATCATTTGCATTGTCACATGCATCATGCATATCATTCCTACATGCATTAGAATCCCCAACAGTTGTATCCTCGTGTGCGTCTCCATGCATCATGCAATGCATGGCATTTCCACCTAAAGTGGAACATCATAGCAAATATGAAATAACAGGATCCAGGATCAATCAACAAGCATTTTTGTAAGTCCTTTTTCAAAGTCGATCGTATTCCTCTAAAAATAGCTAATACCCCGCATGTGCTCCTGGAATTTCTATTCCCCAACAAATCATTTTTCAACTTTATAGTTGATAATGATAATCCCCAGCATCTTCACTATTGTTTCTCCCCAAGTAGAGGTTATCCTAAAAAGTATCTTATAAGCTTTCCCTGCAGAACTTTGCCAGCGCACCTCCTCCAAAAGGAGTTCTTGCTTAAATTGTTTTCCCCAACAGATTTACCGCTTGAGATATTGATCTAGTATTTCCAAAGATCCTTAACCTATAAGGTACTGCTTTTTGCAATTTAGAGAATCTCATTTGTTCTTGAGATACTGCTTTGGCATCCTCAAAGAGTCTTAACTCATAGGATATTGCTTCGTACGGCCCAAAGAATCTCATGTTTTGGTTGAGATACTGTTCTAGTATTCCCGAAGAGCCTTAACTCGTAAGGTACTGCTTCGCATGATCTAGGAAGTCTCACGCATTCGTTTTTATCTGCTCTAGTATCCTTGAAGAATATTATATATGCAATTAAGGTATCATTCCCCATGATGCAATATCTTGATCAATAAGATATTGCTCTGTTGGTTTAGCAAATCTCACCCCCCACCCTTTTGCAGAGATACTGCTATGAATATCCCTGAAGAGCCTTAACTTATAAGGTACTACTTCATGTGATGCAGAGAATCATGTTTCGTTGTTAAGATATTCTAAAGGTCCTCGGAGAGCCTTAAGTCATAAGGTACTGCTTCACGCGACTTGGAGAACTTCATCTCTTGCACTGAGATAATGCTTTGGTGACCCAAAGAATCTCAAATGTTTTGATTAGATTTTGCATCCTGCTATCCCATTCACCATTCTTATATCTCCTATTTCATCCTTGCATTGCATTTCTACTTTTCATAGGAGAAAATTTTGGAGTCTTCTTTTATCTAATTGTCTTTTACCCTAAAAATGAACTCCATGCAACAATTCATTTTCTCAAGTTCAAGGCAATTAGATAGGGACATCTGTCATACCCCAATTTTTTCCTACCTGAATAATTTTATCCTTATTTGTTTCTTTTTACTTTATGTGACTAACCATTATTCAAAAATTCAAAAAATTGTGTCATTGCTTTCATTTTTCTTGTTGTCTATGGTCAGGTTGTGCAAGTTGACTATCAAGATTTAGGCAAGGCTATCAGGTCAAATGTATGTGCAGTAATGGTTGAAGTTCAGTTGGGTTTGACCTAATCTTGGTCAAACAAGAAAGTATTTTTCATTCTCGAGTCATCAGTATGTGTTAAAGCTAAGTGCTTTATGGGTGAAGATCATCAGGATCCAGTTCATTTCTCAGTTAAGGTTTTTACAGTGTACTGAAATCCATATCTCAATTCTCAATCCTCTGATTTCAAAACATTTTCTTGCTCATTCGGTCCATAGTGAAGAGTTTGGTTCATCATGATTCAAGTGGCAAGGTTCAGATTGATTCATTGATTCGAGGTTTTAATTCAGTCAAAGTGCAAGATTGATGCTTGATTTTATTTCTCATTTCAAGTAAGAATTCAAAAAGGTAGGAATTTGGTTATTGGATCAACATGAAATTCAAGTTTTTAATCGTTTAAAGCGTTGTTATGGCCAAAGTTTCAATTTGGTTCAAGAATCAATATGTGAAGGTGCATATCATAATTACAACTTTCAAGCTACAAGGTCATACAAAATTCATCAAGACCCAAGATACCATTTCATCATCAAAGCCCATTATATTATTTCATCACAAAAAAAAACTCTACAAAAAGCTCATGAGAACTACAACAATAACAACAAAAATTCCAAATTCCAAAGTTCGTGTCCATTCTACAAAAAGCCCATATAACCAATACAACCAAATTGCCAAAAAAAAAATTAACACATGAAATAAAGCCTTCACGCTGCTACTTCATGCTTCAAGCCACATGAAAACTTCAGCTTCCAAGCCTTCTAGTCGAGCCTTGCAAGCTATGCACCAAATAAACCAAGTCACTTCTATGTGCAAAACACACCAATCTTTACGCAAGGGCCTTCTCACGCACCAGCCACATGACACCATCCAAACATTTCACAAGCCTTTAACAGTAGCCAATTCCAAGCCTTCATACACTCCGCCCAAGCCAAAACATAACAAAAAACAAGTTCATGCTTCAAGCCACATGAAAACTTCAACTTCCAAGCCTTCCAAAACAAGCCCATGAAACAAAAATGAAACCAAGGACTCCGTCACGTATACATAGAAGAGAAGGAAAACGGAAAACGAATCTTCTTTCACATGGGATAATCGGACATGGGATAATCAGATTTAGCGCGTTCAACACACACAAAACCTCAAACTTTTCATCCACATATGAGGCATATCTCACAACGGATTTCACGTTCAAAATATACACAAAACTTTAACCACATTTCCACACTCCTCATACAACGGATTTCACGTTCAAAATATACACAAAACTTTAACCACATTTCCACACTCCTCACGCAAAAAACCAACTTTAAAAGGAACAAAACAACCTGTAAATAATATACACAAACCTCTGTTCATCTTTTTTACTCAAAAACCAACACAACTCCTCTTCCATTGTATTCTTCCCTCAAACCTCTTTCCATTACAACCTTCTCCATCTACCTTCCTACTCTTAAAACATCACAACCATTTTTCATAAATCACACAACACTAGAACCTCCTTCATCTTCCATAAATCACCTCAACACACAAAATTTCAGACAACAATCATTCTTCACCTTTTTCAAATCATCGTCATATTTTCAAACCTTAACATCTCAAAATCAAACCTTTAAAACCACAACATGCAAGAACAACCAAATCAACACACAAACTGTTTCCTCTATCATTATTCACAAACCAAATCACAAAAACCATTACAAACCTTCTTCAACAACAACTCGTCAACAACCACAAGACACAACAAATCGTCACAGAGAATAAAATAGAGAAACAAAAAAGATGAGAGGGATGCGAGATTGAGAAACACATGATTGAGATAGATGAAATTGAACCAACAATTAAAACCAAACGGAATCGAAAAAGAGAGATATAAGCCGAATGAGACAGAGAGATCGAGTGGAAAGGAAAAAGGTTGCGAAAAAACAAAATGGAGGACAAGAAAACTAAAACATATTTTATTTGTATTTTTATAACTCAAACATATTTCTTATCACTTAAAGTTTTGCTTTCTCTACTTTTGTTTTATCAATTAAAATTTTATTTTTGTACTAAACAAAATTTATATTTATATTTTACAATAACATTTAAAAAAACTTATCAAATCTCAGCTTACTCCCTTCGTGTGAACAAGAAAACTGATACATGCATACCCAACATTTATTTACGGAACATGCGATACAGTACAAGAAAAGGACATTAACAAATAAATTTAAAAAAAAAAACTAAATAATTTCAAGGAAATAAACTATACAAAATAAAGCCGGTTTTATACCAAAACCACTAACATTTCCAATAGGCTTATTTAAACTCCATCTTTTCCAATAAAATGAGTTTTGTATGAAATTTATGAGCAAGGAACCTTTTTCTTTTGGCTTTGGAGCAGGGAACCATAATGTTGCTCAGGACTCCATTACCATTGTGTATAAATGCAGAAAAACTGTGAGATTAGAGGTAGTCCATAGGAAGCTCCCAATTATCTTCATTTCTATCCCAATCTCTTGGATTGGGTTTCTTTCTTCCAAAACTTTTTCTTCTCCTTGAAGCACCACCATATGTCGCAGATTGTTCAGACTCATAATCATCAACATCATCCACTGAGATTCCCACATTCTGGTTGCCCAAAATACCCTGGTGAAGGCAAATAACATGTTTTCTGATCAAATAGACAATAAATTACTTGATACCAAAACGCTATAGATGTCTGAACTTATAAATCTTCCAGAATGAAAAATGAAAACATTGGTTCTATAAAGAGGGCATCAACTATTTTAAATTGCTTATCGGCTATTTTTTGGCTGGACAGACACAAACTGGAGATACTAATTCGTCGAAGACACATTTTCAGAAGCTAAAAAAATAGTTGAACTGAACTGACTAAGCAAACCTGGCACTTGTCAGTTTTTTGTTTTATTTTGAGGAAGGCAGTTTTATTTTTTAACTGAAGCTACCTTTGAAAGCCTTTGTATTCGTAAAGCTGCAGCTTCATGTACTACAACTGCGTCAGATACCACTTCCAGAACATCCTCAACCATCAAAGAGTAGGTACTCACCTAAATAATTAAATAGAAAAATAAATATTCAAGTATGAAGAATGCCACTGTGATGCCATAAATAGAAGATAAACATTTATCTTATTAACAAACAATGAGTTAACGCAGATGGAATTAATTGCGACTACTTTTGAATATAGAAGGACTGAATTGCAAAATTTGATTCATAAGGAACTAAATGGAGAATGGAAGCTGTGAAATCTGAATAGTATATCTCGAGTATGCAAAATGTACAAACACTAATCTCTTCCTAAACTAATGGACTTAAGGCCCGAATACAAATTACTACTAACATTAGTAAAAATAACTATAAAAAATAACTTATTTACTGGGTTGTTAATCTCGGATAGCAGCACGTAGCGCCAGACCCCCAAAATGCTATAGCGGCATAGCAAATAGTTGTGAGCTTTAAAATCCAAGGTAAATACTTCACATGAATACATAAATACTTAAAATAAGTTCCAACAACATACATAATGCCTTAAAAACAGAAGTTGCAACAACATACATAAATTCTAACAGCACCACAATATAAGTTCCCATCAAAATCAAATTATAATGTGGTCAAAATGGCTAAACCAAATTCTAAACGTTAACAAATGTAAACAAAATAACTAAATCACATCCGTCTCATCTTCACTTTTAAGTTCTACCACATTAATATCATCTTGCTCATCACTTAATTCAATTTCAAACTCTTCTTCTTCCATCTCCAACTCCTCGTCTCCATTCAAAATTAATATATATCATCTAGCTCGTCACTTGATTCAATTTCAAACTCTTCTTCTTCCATCTCCAACTCCTCATCTCCATTAGACGCTGATGTAGCAAGCTTTTGATGATCTAGCTTGCTTCACAAACAATAGCTTTTTTGCTTTGGTCTTTAGAAGAGTTCCACTACCAACCTATGTCAATATTGACACCAATAGGTTTAAAAAAACCTTTGTTGTTGGAAGTTTGTATTAAACTTGCACAAGATGATGCCATGGTTGCTAATAGATGAGAAATCAACGAAACAATGGAGAAATAGATGTGAATGGATGAGAAAGTGAAGAAAAAGATGAATAGGTGAAGAGGAATGTGGAAGAATGGATGAGAAAGATCCACGGCTTGCTGATTTTTAGGCTGAGAAGAATGTGGAAGAAGAAAATTTGCAAAGAGAGAAAGAACGACAATTTTTTAGGTCAAAAGATCGACCGCTTCCTGATGTGAGTGGAGAGAATTGGAAATGACCTAAAGCATCACTAGCATATTTTGTATTAGTCAAATAAAAGGAAAAAAATACCAATTTTCCCTTAAAAAAAATTCAAACTTACAATATTTCCCTCAGCTTCACAAAAGCGGTCTGTAAACCGCTACATAACCACTAATGTGTCGCTATTGCGCTGCCACAACTCCACAAATAGCGGCCACTATTTCCGCTATCGCAGATAGTGGTTAGCAGCTCAAAAGCGTGGCGCCGAGGTCCTGTACTGCTACGCTATGCCGCTATAGCGTGCTATCGACAACCTAGCTTATTTACAACAAGACCACTAGTGAGGGACCAAAGTAGAGGATGTTTGGCCTAATTTTTATTAGTTAGCTTTTGTTGAGTAAGATTTAGCATTGGTAATAATTTCTTTTTTATTAAAGGGCCATATAAGAAATAGAATTGTACTAGTTTATGGAGTACCACCAACTTAAATATAACAATTACATGTAAGAAAAAAAACTAGAGGAGGAGGAAGCTCCCATGTCCTCCCTCCCTCCAAAATTGCATAAAAAGGATAAATATTTCCAATTAAATTGACAAAACTTGCATGCAGTTTGTATTACTAACCATTGTAGAAAGAAGCACCACTTACCAAACTGGATGGAATGATAGATAGTCCAAATGAGTCTATCTCCAGTTCTTCAACAGCACCTGAATTGATGCTGAAATTGTAGCCGCGCACCTAAGAGTTACGGTTTAAAAATTATATGATTAGAGATAAATAAACCAGTTTTGTAATTCTGTACACAACTTGGAGCAAGAAACATATAATCACCTTTCCAATATTACGTAGAGATGGTGTTACAACTTTGTATCCAACCTAGCAAATATAAATGATTAAGAAATCTCTGAATTTGTATAAATTTGAGAGAAATTGTTAGGATATAGAGTAAATGGAAATTAGAGTAGTTAAAGTAGTTATGAGCTGTTAGAGAAGTTAGTTATAGTTAGTTATTTAGGTTGTAGTTATGAGTTATAACTTATAAGAGAAGTTAGTTTGTAATTGGGATTAGCTAGAGAGCATGTGTCTGATAAATAGGAGAACGCAAAGGTTAGAACATTGGAATATCATAATAGTGAATAGAGTATTCTCTATTGTGAAGGAGAAATCCTTGAGAAGAGATTCTCTGCTATTCTAGATTTCTATCCTATTTCTCAATAAAAGTGTCATTTTGTTGAAATCCAATTCTTAAGTTCCTAACACGAGTGGTAGTGAAGCCAAGATTAATGGAATAAAATCCATGGAATCACTATCTACAATGATTAATTGAAAAGAGTGAAAGAGATGATTGATCCGGAACAAAATAATGTAAAGTACTGGAGTTCTGGATAAAAGGCTGGAAATCCACAAGAGATAACTTTCCCATTTTCCTATGAATAAAATATAACAGGTCACAATTAGTCACGTATCTTAGGTGATCGCGACTTTCTGAATCTAACCGAACTAACTGCAAGTGCACAGTCTATCGCGTAGTAATAAAAGATATCGATCCCACAAGGACTCATAATCAAACTAGTGTTCTCGGGTGTTACTATGTTTAGCTAGGTTGGATATGGTTTAAGGGAATGGATGCAAAAGTAAAGGCTAAATTAAAGAAAGGCTAAAAGGTTTACTTAGAATATTAATACGGGAAATCGGTATGCAATGCCTTAGTTCTTCGAGGATTCGACAAGTCACCGGCGTGGTTTAATAATTTCAAAATAGTTTTCAGAAGAAAATAACAGTTTAAAGACTTTTGTCTCACGTTGGTTGTTGACGCTAGTCGCAACTCTAAGGCGGAACGTATGCTTTCGCTATCCCATTCGGGGTTAAAATTGCTTTTTGAAAACCATTGAGTTCTAATTTCTTTTAAAGCGCTTTCGCTGTATTTAAAATAAATGCCTAGTTTTTACTATCTGGTCTCAGCCTCAGCTTTCGCATGTCGGTTCGTACTTTAATGAATCTCCCACTGTCGTGACGGGATTACTTTAAACAAATTCTCGTTGTCGCGACGAAGTTTAGTTTAACAAATTTAGATTAAAAACTACGGCCAGAAACTAGTTTGAAAAAGTGGAAAAACACCGGATGTTGTCGAATCCCATCCTACTAATTTATTACATACTGATCGATACGGTTTAGCTAGACATGAATTTTAAAGCAGACATAATTGAATGAAAACAGCAGAATACTTAAACATACATTATAATGGCAAATGGAAACTTAATTAATAGTAATGAATCTGTAAATAATTCAACTTTGGCACTTGAGTAATCCCCCATAATGTCGGCAGAATTATTACTTCAGTGACAGTCAACGTACGGAAAATTAAAGCAAACAGTACAACTGAAATTTTAAAGGACAATAAAAGAAGAAAAAAAAAAAGCAGGAACAATTTTTGGCTTTTGTAGTAAATTGGGCAGCACTTCGTGATCTTCAATGCGGCTCCCTTATTCCAGTCCTGAACCTCTCCTTTTATAGTGGAGGTTTCTTACGTGAAATATCTCAGGGAGTGGAGTTGAGGATGAGAGAATCCAGGGAGACGTGGTTACATTTTCTGGGCTTCTGTTGACACGTTCTCAAAAGTGAACGTTATTTTGTTTTTGCAAGTGTGACGATCGTTAGGGAGATGAGACGTTCGTGATGAGCATAACGATCGTAATGGGTGTGACGGTCGTGACACATGTGACGGTCGTCAAGGACCTATGACGACCGTCATATCAGCAAAAACTCATTTCTGCTATTTTTTCGTCCTTTTTCTTCTGTTTTGTGTCTTCTAACATTTGTTTTCTTTGTCTTGCTCTATTTGAGTGTGAACTTCATATACCTGCAAAACACTTAACGAAAAAGCTCGAAACAATCTAAAACCGTGGTGAAACCAAACATTAGTAGCATAAAATCATGGCACTTACTATATACGTTTTCTGTTATCAAATTCTCCTAAACTTGAATTTTTGCTTGTCCTCAAGCAAAAAGCATAAGAGCTGAGACGATGCAGTCGCACGATGCGCTCCTTTACGTTTTCAAAGTAGCTTCAGAGGCGCTGAGTCGGTAAGTCGGAGAGGATTTAAAACAACACGCATACGACAGTGACACTAAGCGGTATGCTTCGAAGGCCTCCTTCTTATACGAGCCGGTTCCAATCATGCTGCTGTAGCTTGGCGTAAAGTTCGTCGTACCAAATTTTGCCCAGTTTCATTCCAGCGCAATCACATTAAGCCTTTTACCTCTTTGCACGCACATAGTGGAATAACCTGTTAGTGATTTCGGTCTTTCTTTGTACAGGGTCTGGTGCACGAGTGCGGTACCCTTCGATATGTCCTCTTTGTAAGTTGTGGGGGATCGAACAGTAATTCGCCCTACCGAGTCCATAACCAGAGACCTATGGACCAACTGACAGAGGACTTCTTTTCTTTATGAGCTTATTTTTGTTATTCTGAGATATCAGAGGTAGATAATCACTACATGGCTGCGGAGCAATTCTTTTCTTTATGATCTTACCGATCACTTATTTGCATCGGCTTTCCACGTGGTATGTGCTTAAGGCGGTGCTGGCTGCTTGTATAAACTACTAGGGGCTTCGCTTGGTGCTCGAACCTGAGGCTTTGGTACAGTAGGTAGTGGAACTGACTCGCATAAACCGGAGGTCTAAGGTGTCAAAGCGGTATGGGTATCGTTAGCAATCGTTCTCGAGGTTCCTTGACTCGGCCTTAATCTTGGCGCATCGGGTGTTGCATCGGTTTTTGAAAAAAAAATTGTATAGCCCGAGAAAAATGGATAAAGCGGGGGAATTCGCGTAACGGAAAAGAACATAAAAATGCGCTTTATTATACTGAATTGAAATGACTGGATTAAAATAGTTGAAATGGAAATAGAGTACATAACAGAAGTGAATGGAAATAAAGTGCCGCTCCCTCACTGATTTGAAACGAATGTGGAAGGTGTACAACAACAAAAATGAAATTGCAATAAATAAAACAACAGCAAGATAGCTATGGAGTACACTACTCTCTGTCTCTTCCTCTGCCGCGATGTCGTCCTCCTCGGGTCGTGGGGTGCAGAGCGCCGGTGTGAAAGATGGTTTCGCTTAGGCCCTCCATACAAACGGTTAGAGCAGTCATCTCATCAATGACGTTGTTGAGGCGTTCCCCTTGGGCTACCAACAAATCCATCAACTGCTGGTGTTGTTCTTGGTGACGACGTTCGAGCCAGGATGCTGTCTCGTTTTGTTGCCAAATACCGCGAAGGATTTCTTCGTTTATTGCCTCGATCTCAGGTCGGCGGCGGCGGCGAGAGGAAGGACCTTCAGTAGGTGGCGGATGTGGGGCATCAGCCTGAGCAGCTCTGTCCAATTCTTCCTTCACTTCATCAACGGGCACTTGGGCATTTTCTTGAGTTGTTGCTGCATTAGCTTCTAGTGTCTCTGTGTCAAAGAGCCAGTTGGCTCTGTTTTGAGGATGGGCGCGGTCACGGCACGGTAAGATCATGTTGCGGATAGTGCGGTTGCGAACCACCGGATGATATTTTCCGTCAGCTCGGACCTTGATGAGGTGGGAGGAACGACAGTAGTCAATGTCGAGAAAGACCGGAGGCAGGGACGGGAGGTCCTGGAGGCGGCTACCGAGGTCGAGGGACACGGCAATGGAAGTAATGATACCTACGAAGTAGAAAGGCTTGGAACCTCGACAACAGTTGGCTTGGATGTGGGCCAAGAGAAACGGTGCAGCATTGACGGCATCAGGAGCGAAGACGCACTGTAGAAAGAAGAGCTCCTTGGAGTTGACCTTATGGTTACCGTCTCGTGCAAAAATGGTGTTTCCGAGCACCCGGTGAAAGTAGCGGACGGCGAGGTGGTGGATGTAAGTGGCGTTGAGGTTGTCCCACCCATCGGCGGTGGTGCCGGTAAGTTGATTCCAGAGTGCGAAGGCCTCTTGAAAGAAGTGGTCCGAGGAAACTCTACAGTGAGCATCGGCACCATGGCGGAACTGTAACATTTAAGCAAGTTGAGTTTGGATAAGCTGGTATTCGGTGCCGAACATTCGGAAACATGCGACACCGGTGAGTTGGTTAGTCTCGCCGGTAGGGGTGATGTATGAGAAAGAACTCAAGAACTCCAAGGTTAGCTTTTCGTACGTCGGTTGCGGAGTCGTGCATAGAAACCATAGACCGGCATTCTGCAGCATCCATTGGACGCCTTCCAAAATGCCCAACTCAGTTAAGCATGCAACATCGGAGTACCAAGTCGGCTGAACAGATCTTTGATAGAATATAATATAATTTGCTCGCTGTTGTTCTCCGCGTTCGCCTTCTCGAAAAACGATGGTAGACATGTCAGGGATTTCACCGTGTCGTGCCATTTGTTTCGGTTGTTTAGTGTGAAGGAGGGTGGAAAAGAGAGAGTGATTAGGGAGAGTCTTTTTCCTGTGGAATGAATTAGACGAGAACTGAGAGTTTATATGGGAAGATTGGTAGGTGAACGGGTGGAACGAGTAATGGTGAGGTTGAATGTAATGAATGAGAAAGTTACTATGGAGGTAGTGGGAAGTTGAAAATGTAGAGGGAGATGGATTTGAACGGGAGATAGTGGGAAGTTATGAAGTAAAAGGAGGGGGTGGTTCGTATTCTGCTAATAGAGCAGAATTTTAATCGCGTGAGGATCGTGAAGCCCTTGACGAGCGTAACGGGGGTGTGACGGTCGTCAGAGCAGCAAATTCTGCAGCTGCAGAAAATGTGTTTTGTGGTTCGTACTGGAGTTCTGTATTATAATTGATTCACATTGCCAACCAGTATGTCAAACAAAATAAGGAATTGTAAAGGAAGAATTTTGAATTAAACCTAAAAAT